CGTACCTCATTGCTCATGCTCGCTCGACACTCAGTCTCTATGACTGGGCTCGTTGAATCGCTGTCCCGGTCTTTTGGATCTCTATGCTTCTATGAGAATGACTGTATTAACAAAAAATAATTCAGGTTTACAATTTTACATACACTCAATTTAGTGAGCACAAGTTTTTGTCACTGGAAAAAACTTGACATTTTTGCACACAAAATTAAAAAGGCCATTAAAAATTAGAGGGAACATTGGTTCTGCCTTGTGTCTGTTGTTTGCCAGAATAGTCTCTGGCTCCCCTGCAATCCTGTATTGGTTACAGTGGTTAGAAAATGGGTGGATGAATGGATTTTACAATGAATTTTAGTATATTGTTATTTTTAAAGCAGAATGATCTGTTTTTCTTTATATTTTGAGTCTAGATTTTATTTTTATTATTTTATTATTTTTATTTTTCGAATTTCTTATGCTTTTATAAGCTTTTAAGTTTCGCAAATAGCCTTTATTTAGAAGGCAGCTTATCCCTTATTTGGCCTCTGTTGGCATTAAGTGTTTCATGCTTAGTAGGAGTCTGGGGGGTTTTCTGGGTGATTAGAATATTAGGCCTCTGAAACTCCTTGTTTGTAAATACTGTACACAGAATAACTTGTGTGTTGTTTGTTTTGTTGTGTGCAGTGTAGGTTGTGACTTCTCATTATAATAAATATTTTTTTAACCATGTTTAACAAAATTCTTTTCACCAAAGCTGTGCCAGAGAACAAAGAATTCACATGCCTCTAAGTATAGAGACTTGGGTGTATTCTAGCAAAACCACTTACAAGTTGGGGGTTATGAATAATTATTTTACTTATTGACTGAACCGTTCAGTCCGTTCCTGTAATTCACCCTTTTCGTAACCCCCCATCTGTAACAATACAGTTGTCCCACAATATTTGCAACAATAAAATACATTGACTTTCACACAAATTCATTGCATTTATTTTAGAAGAACCATATAAATTATAAAAGTAATAGCATGTAACAACCATACACTCCCACCCCAACTTGGAAAACCTAAAATAATTTGAACTTTTTTTGTGATTTTTTCCTCTGTTTCTGAAGTTGAGACTTATTTGTCCTGTTTTTATATTGCAGTGCTGTTTTATGAAGTTCTGTACTCTGTCTACATGGAAACTCTGCCTAACTGGGTAAATAGAGTATTAATAAAAGCATAATTTGAAAAGAAGATCTGAAAACACAATAAGCGTTTTGTACCAATCATAGTGTGGCAAATGCAATTGAAAGTCCTTTTATGATGTGGAGGAGAGCAGTGTAGGCACAAAGCTGTAAATGGAGTTTGCAAAAGAATCAATTAGCAATATTATGCAGAGACCGAAAACCCAGTGCAAAATTAACAGACTTCCTGAATGTTTTAATTAAGAATCTCGGTCAGCTCCAGAGGAAACCATAACAACTTCGTCTTTATGAATATTCAGTAGACTTCAACATTTTTTTTGCAGCTAGCAAAAGGTACTGAGTCACTAGGAGACCAAGAGAAGACACTATTGTGGTCGCCTGGTCAACCATTATAATGTCTAATGTCTCCTTTCTATTTACATAAAGCAGCACAATACAAATACAATACAAATACAAAAAGAAATTTTCTTCTGTGTTTTGGGTCAACAACATGCCATGTTTGATATCATGTAATTTTCTGGGGACTGCAGTGAGAGAAGGTTGTGTGGCTGTTAACTTAAAGCTGTTCTTTTCCTGTCATAAGCTTTTTAACTCCTTCTCCATTATCTATTGATATTTGCAGCGTACAATGTATCTTGCAGTAATCCCTGTTAACTGCTTGCTTTGACTTAACTGTGTTTCATTTGCTGTGGTAAAACAAAAAAGTGCCAATCAGATTATGTACAGCATGTATAATATTTATACCTACAAAGTCTTAAAAAATTGAGTAATTAATTCTGCTTTTAGACATCTGATGGGGGGGGGTTAGACATCCAATTACTGGTGCACTTTAATAAATTATTGCTAATGTAGAAGACGTTATATACTGTAGCAATGGCCGCTTTAGCACCTACTGTATTTTCAGACAAATTCAATAATTCTGCAAAATCAAGTCCTTTGGGTTTTTACGGAATACATTTTATGGAAATCAAAGCTTGATTTTCACAGGTCCTGCATTATGACCTTTATGAATGACTGAATAAATGTATAACAGAAATGGGATCATAATTAAGGGTTTTTCTCTCACTCAGCACATACTGTAGCTGGACAGCCATGACAGAACAATTCAATATTATTAGAAGTGGTTACTGACTACATATTAATATTAATCTGGGATATTTATTCAGTTTGGAGTTGAGGAAATGAATGTACTGACAAATAGGTTTGCAAAAAATGTCAAATCTGTTATCATTTGTAAGTACACATTTCATTATTGTTATTAATGTACTGATCTTTCTTCAGATTGACTTTCAATATTTTGCAAGTGTCATGTACAGTAGAAGCATTGAAAGCACAGGGATTGATTCTGCTGTATCTGCATTGTAAAGTTATCTCATACTTAATAAGATGGGCTATCAGAATGTAATAATTTCACAACAATGCCCTTTTCAATTAGAATATTTATTTGTATTCTCATTTTTATATGTAGACAAGGCACCCTATAGGAGAGGTCACCATGTACTGTGTACAATACATATGCAGTTCATGTAGTAAAGGAATACTGTATTTACAGTGATTAATAGTATAGTACAATTAGAGACACAAATGATGTGTTGTTCCAGTTTGGCAAATAATACCAGGAAATACATTTAATCCATAACAACAGCTGGGTTCAGTGAGATATCTTTACCATTTTCAGCTCCACATATTGAAATATCTAGATATTATTCCCATACTTATCTGTTTATATGCTATTTTAAGTATTTGCTCCTTGAAAATGACTGACCAATGAATTGAAAGTATTAAACTCATGACAGTAGTCAAGATAGTTTTCCGACCATTAGTACATACATTAATTAATGTAAATATTGATAGCAACATAGCAATAATATGCCCAGTGCCAGAATTAATTAAAATAATTACGTTTATAAACATGTATAAATCTTATTGATTGAATAATGATTTGCTAACATTACCAATTGAACCCCCTCCTTGCACACATAGCATATCTGTCAGATCTGAATTACTTTGTTTGAATACACTAATACCTGCTTTTTTAAATTAATTAAAATTTCAAATAAATTATTTTTAGTCTTATCAATTTCAAGTTTCATTTTTGGAATTGTTAGCCAAAATTGCAAAACCTTTTGTGAAGCACAGCTGGAATAAGGACAGTTCTTTCCTCAAAATTCCGTACTTATTAAAGTCATTTACATTACTTGCTGCCTTAAAGGAGAATTGGTGTTGAGTGAGGGAGCAGTGTGATTTTCACTGATGGCATACAGTATGTAAGAATATGTCAGGCTGCCAGTGCCTTTACGGTTTGTAAACATCTCTGATTTCTCTAGAAATCTCTTTCCAAACCATTTAGAATCATTTTATGCCTGTCGCAATACGTTTCCCACAAAAATGTTGTTTCACCACATTCAATATCTGTTGTTTTTTGTGGGAGAATCAGATCATTCTGTGCCATGGTTTATATTAATAGCAGCATGCAATGACTAAGGAAAATCTCATTCTTAATATGAATATACTGTAAATGAATATATTTAACTGTTCTGTATTCCCCTTTTTCAGCCTTTTTTGACAGGAAAGGTTTTGGCCTTTACAGTATATACACAAATATAAGGAGTGTTGCAAATGTTGGGGAGTATATGATTCTGGACTGTTATCCGATTGCCAGATTGTTGGTCATATGGTATCCAGAAAGCATTATACCTAAGATCCCTCCTGTTTCTGAAGGCTTTGGAATAAGCAGTAAAATTGAGAGCCAAACAGGGCTTTGTCAAATTCAAAATACATGTTTCTTTTCTTTGAAAAATCATCTCAAACTCATATGAAAATGGATCAATCCTCTTAAATTCTCCTCTCTGTTTTTGCACCGAACTCAAAATACTGCTATGCTGAATGTTTCACACAGCTCCAAGAATTGTGATGTCACTTGTTACATCATTTTATATGTCAGTGTTGCGGTGTGTCATCATGTATGTCTTCCTTTACAGTATGTCATTTGTCATGTGAGGGAAAACACGCAAGTAAACATTTCATTGTACACATGACAATAAACTTAAACCTGAAATGTAGACACTGCGACTTGGTTTAATACAGTTGCCAAAGCTAATTGTTTCATGATTTGGCAGGTATTCTGCCGATGTAGCTGTAATGGAAGTGGAAAACTGTTGGACACTTGCTGTACTGGACGCCTCCACAAACACGAACAGTTACTCCCCTCAGTCCTACGATTCTGTTGTGCCTTTCAGAGTTGATGTGCTGTGTAGTTGTTACTGGCACAGACAGAAAATCCATAGAGCTTTGAAAGAAAACTGCAAGATACAATCATATTTTCTCTTCATACTTAATATAGCTCAGGGTTCTAAGAAGCATTATCAAAATTAACAATGGGGAAAGGGTGGTCTTTAGGAGAATGAGGAGAAAATGTAGTTTTTTCTAACCGTTTGAAATGTTACCCTGCCTAATGGGTAGGACTCTCTTCAGCCTGCTTTTTGCACATTTGCTGTGACGTGTGCTGCAAATTTCAGAACAGGAGTGCAGGTGACAAAGTGTCAAAATGAGTTACAGAGTCTCACCTTAATCCACAGATTTGTGTGTAGTCTGTGTGTAGTGATCAGATGCCCCTGCCCTTAAACTCTAGCTTTCATGACTTCTGTTTCGAATGAGCTGTGTCTCCATGTTGGTCTTTGCATAGCTTCCTTCATTTGAACCAGAATTTCTTGATTCCCATTCCCAGCCCTGATTCCCATCCCATGCTGTGCTTTACTTTTAGTTTTCCCAAAAAAATTTTTCTCTGTTTTCCCTCATTGAAATGCCAGTGGCTTGACCGCAGTGCGTTTGCACTTTAGAGCATGCTGACTGGACTGATGTATCACCGGCCCGAGGACCCCTTAATGTATCTAGAGAACTGCCTGCAGAAAGCCCGGGAACTGGGCGGCCCTGAGCGTGTCCGCTGGGACACATTCATCAGCCCAGACCGCCGGCCACTGCCCCCCATCAATGGAGGACAAGGCAAGAAAACAGTCTCCAGAGCTGGTAAGACAGAGCTCTTCACAAGCAGTCTTCATAAGGTCTACAGATCCTGCCAGTTGGTGGTGTTATTATTAAACAGCATGTGGTTGAATCGTTTTTCTAAACAGGGCCCTCCCCTCAGGACTGCTTACTGCCAGGGGCCAAGATTAAGTCAATCCACTCAAAACGTCAAACAACCGCCAGTCTTAAATCCCAAATCCAGCGGATACAGCTTTTTAGCACAAGTACTGCAGAGAATGATCAGCCACTGCAGTGTGTGGCTCGTGCGCAGGTCTGCAGCTTTGAAATGACTCAGAAAAGAGCGGTATCACCCACTTCCATGATGTTCCATTTAGTTGAATTGCTAATGATTTAGTGTATACACATTTTTTTAAAACGGAGTATTGTAACGAGGCCTTGAATGTTCAAACTGAGCACTTGAATGAAAGAGGTCATCAGAAACTCCAATGCAAAATGAAAAACTAAAAATACGTTGATTGCTTAAGTATTGATGACACTTCACTGAGTCATTACTTAATTACCCGTTTCAGTTTGAAGTCTTTGCAGACCATCATGGTAAATGTTTGCCTATTCTTCCTTTCAAACTTGCCTGAGCTGTCAAGTTGGTTGGTAATCATTGATGGACGGCAATTTGCAAGTCTTGTCTCGGAAGGGAATGGATAATTTTGCAAGGCACTGTATGGTTCCTTGATATGATTACCCGATTATAAAATTATGCCATTGATTTTTAATTGTGCATTATCACTCTGCTACAAAGTACCTTTATTCTGTGATGCCCCCTAATAATACTCTATTGCCTTTTAAATTGCAATGCAATTTGTTTTTGATTAAGTCATGTGTTCTAATGAGTCAATATCATTTTTATAAGAGAACAAGTAATAATGCTTGCACTAGGAAAGTTGGTATCATTCCAAATATTTGTTATGGCAGCTGAAATTGCATTTAAAAGTCTACAGCTGCATTTCAGAAGAATTTTTGTTATAAAGCAAAAACATAATAAGTTTTTTGTTATAATTATGTTTCTAGATGCCCGTCTTGAGGTAGGTAAATACACTGAATTTAAATTCAAGTAGGGAGCTGCGTCAGCATGCGTAGGCTGCAAAGGAACAAGTAAAGGTTTATTCCAGGCTGTAGGGAGAGGAAAAGAGACACAACATTTCAGCTGTGAAGCCTTCTTAATGTCAAGCCTTTCTTCTTTTCCTTTCCATCTTCCAAAAAGGCTCCACAGCCGTAACATTGTGTCTCTTTTCTTTTCAGCATGGAATAAACCTTTACTTGTTCCTACACAGAATATTTGATATTGTGTTCACATTGAAAATTGGACTGAAATTAAATAAATCGGAGCAGGGAGAAGATGGCTCTATTTTGTCTGGCATTGCCTGTGAATTCCATCCCTTTAAAGTTGTGTAGGTCCATCAAATGTTATTCAATATTATCAGTCAACCAATATCGAAGATTGACTTGTTAACTGAGAACTGTGACCCATCAATATCGCCTTGTAATTTAGAACCCACAAGAAGCAAACCCACTTTTGTACTGAGCTCTTCTGTTTTCCTTACAGATCCTGGGCCAGGCCCAGGCCCAGGCCCTTATCGACGGTATGACCGTCTTCCTCCCATCCAGGCCCAGTTTTCCATCGAGAGCGACTCCGACATGACCGAATCGTCTGGATTAATCCAGGAGTATGATGTCTTTGATCCTTCCAAATCCCGGCCGCATATCATCTTTGTCATTGGTATGACGTCAGAATATTGGGAAGCCGTGACAAAAATATGGAGAACTACTGCTGACCCTTTTTAAACAAATTTGTAAACAAAATAACTTCCCAGTTATCCACTATGAATAACAGAAGTAGTTATCAGAGAAAATATTCTAACTATTAATTGGGTTTTGGCATGTGAAACCTTGTTGTAGTGAAAAAAGAATGTAGACAGTGGGCAAGGCCCACATTAGTATCCTGTCCCACCTGCTCTCATCATCGTGCTTCAACTAAACCCTTTGAGACTGAGGGCTGCAACATGGAAGGGTGATGGTTACATTCCCTTTCAGAGAACCAACATCACAACAACCCCACATTCCCTTTCATGAGTGGTGCTGTCATCACCAGTGGGGAGGAGAGGTATTCAGGCTGTCCTAGACAGGAGGAGTGGAGTAGGCAGCACATAAGGGGTCAGGTCAATTAAGAACACTGTGGCTAATCCAACATGTCCCATCTATTTCTTTCATGTGTGGTGAGTGCAGCTCTGCACGAGCCCTGTTAAATTCCCCCCTTCTAAATTCTTCATACTCTACTCCACAGCAGCCTCAGAGAATGAGAAATTTGAGTCACAGCACCAGAGTGGGGTGTGCAGCTCTCCCTGTCCCTGCTGGTGTTCGATCCCAGTCTCTCTAGACAGAGGATAACTCCTCTACACCAATCAAAGGGTCCTCTTCCACAACAGAGTTGCTCTTCTGTCTCAGAGGGTCACGTTACTTCTGTAACTGGCTCAGGGCATTGAGCCCTGCTATACATACTGTATGACACTTAAATTTTCCTTATAGTTAAATAATATAAAATTTACACTGTCCTTGAGATTATGAAACTGCATGAAAAAGACCCAGTTGTTGTATTTTAGCAATAAGGAAAGGGACAATAATTCACCAAAGTGTTCAGAAGCTCACCAGAGCTATGCAGTTATTCCTAGGCAATCAATTAATAACAAAAAAAAACCTCTCAGCTAGTTCCAATGACTCTTAAATGTTGTTGATTATTCAGATTGCAATGTGAGAGCACCTGTCATAGGACACTTCCCCTTTCTCTTTGGCCCAGGAGGACCAGGCAGTGGGAAAGGCACACAGTCCACGAAAATGGCATGTCGCTATGGGTATGTCTGCATCTCCGTAGGGGAGATCCTGCGCAACCAGCTGCTTCATCATGCGCCTAGTGACCGGAAGTGGGAACTCATTGCACAGATCATCGCCAATGGAGAGCTGGCACCTCAGGTACCACCAACCACATGCACACAAGGAAGACAAGAGAGAATTGGGTGGATAGTGTTGTACATTAATGTTTTGTACAACGTTGTACATGAGCGGTTTGAAACAAGAACGGTACAAAATTGGAAACTAACCTGTTGATTCAGAATTTTTTTACATAGTAAAGTAGAAGCTGTAGTGATCGTACGCACAAATTACATCTGGTCTGAGCCCAGGAATGTTTAGTTCTTTGTTTCAGGCCTGGAGTTAACACATTTTGACCACTTTTCCCCTCTTAGAATAGCCACTGAGTACCTGAATTTCACTGAGCAAAGCATTTTATTGTTATTTACTGTTATTGACTTCTTTTGATTTGGTGGTATAATCTCAGTCCCAGGGCGCAATGAAAACCTAAAATCAAGTTTTTGCTTTGGCTGAGATGGGAGCTTAAATGAATGTAGATGAATATCGCTGGCTAAAGGTGTCCTTCCGAGTGTCTTCTTGTTTAGAAGCACTGGCGTTTCTTCTACTCCAGGAGACCACCATTGAGGAGCTGAAACACCAGTTCATCAAGCAACAGGACGCCAAGGGCTTTATTGTTGATGGCTTCCCCCGAGAGATTGCCCAAGCTTTCACCTTTGAAGAGCAGGTGAAGTCAATACGCTCCCCTCCCCTGTAATGCTAAAACAGGAAATTCACCATATTCCTGCTGCACTGAAGTATTATTGAAACAGAGAGAGCATCCTAGCAACACATGGCAAAGAACAGAATGCACATACATTCTCTAATATGTTTTTAGCTTGGCCTTGAAGGCTCTGGTCTGAGTACTTATGCAGAAGGCTGATATTTATGTCGCAATTTTTGAAGTGCTTCCGGAAAACTGGACAATTCAGCATTGATTTTCTTTTCAAAAGATTCTGTTAATAAATACAGTCCCAGTAAAATAAATACAAATCTCAGTGGTATTTTCCTAGTAAAGCATAAATTCATTTTTTCTGTGACTCTCACCTCTCAGCCTTCTTGATTAGTTATCTTATTATCTTTCAGAGAATAGAGTATTCTACAGCAAGGGAGTTGTGTAGTTTTTAAGCTGTTATTTATATCATATGCAACCAAATGTGCTATAGAGTTTTGTGATACCTCAGTGCTGTGGGGATCATTAAAATTGGTGGGTCCAGAACAACACACACACACAAACTATAAAGTACAAACTAGTGTTCTTTATTTAGTGCAGGGTAAATAAAAATCAGTTAAAACACCAAAAAAAAAGCCTAAGATCCTTTTAGATCTCCTGACTGACTTCATAAAAGTCCCTCATTATGATATTGAGCAGCTGAGCTTTTTACGGACTTCAGAAACATTCAGTCCCTCCCTGAGGCTCTTGACAAAAACTATTCCAAACGCAGAGGTCTCTGAGACAACTTTCTATTCTTCCAAAAATACACAAAAAGTCACAGTTTCATAGTTCTTTGGACGGTCAGTCCTTCTCCCTTTGGTAATTTTGTTATGGTATCACTGGAAGATTTTTATTTTTTTTTTGTTTTTGTTTTTCACTTTTTTATTTTTATTTCTCCTGTTGTTGATTGAACAAGAACCTTGGCTTTCTACTTTTTAAACCGTCACCTGACCAATTGTCTTCCAGCAACTGGTCAAGTGACTGAGAACAGCAGCTCAGTCTTCAAAGGTTTCTGGGGAATCTATCTTCGTGAACCTGGTGTGCTCTTACAGGCTATTGTACATCAGGAGACCTTGAGGTTCTAATGGCCTATAAGATGCTTTACAGGAAGCTATTAAGGTTTTATTGCAATCATATGGTTATGCATACATACTGTAGTCAAATAACTTGGACCAGAGGCTGGATCTTTATCTTTTAAGTGTCACACAGAATATGCTCTGTGATCATGTTAATGTGGATCTTCTGTTATCAACCATTACAGTAATACCCTCTCAGTATTATTTTTTTAACTGAATAGTTGTTTACCAAGTCCCTTCAATAATTAGCTGTCATGGTCTCCTACTGTACGAGTAGTGCTGAGGTACAGACTGGTTTCTTATTCTGATTTTTTTCATGACCTTACTAATTTGTCTTGGATACAGTTAATGACTTTATATTTATCAATGTTAATATCATATAATTTTTGTGAATGTAATATAAGTTAAAGGGACAGAGAAAATAAATGCTTTCAGTCCATTGAAGCTTACACGCATCCAAATACCTCATTTGACCACTTTTTCAAAGGATGAAGCAACAGCAGAATTCACTAGTTGGTTTGATATTCCACTCTTTACTGTAAGTGTGACATACTATAGGCAACCACTATCTTTGTCTTTGTCTATAAAGATCCCCTGTCAGGCCAGATGAAAACATTGAAATAAAAATATGAGAAATAAAAAAATGTATGTGTCCAAGAGGGATGTCATGTTATAAAATGCAGTTCTTTGAAATGAGAAGGTAAAGATTGGGACAAGTAACATTTTACATTATGTGTCAGTCAGGGACAAAGTCATTGTCAAAACTCTTTGGATCCCATAATACTTTACTTCAGTGTTAAATCAGAGGAGATGACCATGTTGATTCTGGGTATATTACGTTTGCTGACATGGTTCTTCTCTTCCCAGATTGGATCACCTGATTTGGTGGTCCTACTTGCGTGCTCCAATCAGCAACTCCGTCAGCGTCTGGAGAAACGAGCTGCCCAGCAGGGACGCCCTGATGACAATGCCCATGCCATTGAGAGACGGCTGGAAACCTTCAAACAAAACATCAACCTCATTGCCAAATACTACCAAGAAAGAGCGCTCATTGTGAGGGTAGGAGAACAGTGTTGGGCTGGGTGAACTCCTCTGAGTTACATTTTTCTGATTTCATGACCCCCTGTAACAGTTTTGACATGCACTTGTCATTAACCTTTACACAAACCTAATTTGGGTCTGTTTGTTCTTCTGCAGATTCTAGCTACAGCAGCATCAAACGACTATAGATAACTGTGATATTCAAGAATTAAAATATTTCTCGATAATCTTGTTTCATTCTTGTTGGAAGTTGTAATCTTTCTTGTTTTTAACTGAACTCAAAGCAAATTATTTTGAAAGGACAGACTATATAACTAATATTTTATTATTTATTATTGTATTTTTTTGTCTGTTACCCAGGCTGTTTTTCAGTCTGTTACCTATCACTTCGATATGAGAAGGTGGTTACAAATCTCCTTATTTGACAAAATAAAGTCTAAAATATCTTTAATAGAAAGTGACAGATAATATAGAGCAGTACGTTTAGAACTGAAAACAATAGGTACTTCTTTACCATGTTGTTGAAGCCATTACTTGGCCTCTTTCAAGAATCAGGTAGATATGATCCTCAACTCAGCTCCTGGCTACAAAACAAGCTAGACAGACTGAGTGTCCCCCTCTGGTTTGTTAGCTTTCTTATGTACAGTACATTTAAAAAAAAACATTTTTTAATATAATTATGTGCAATACGTTTCTGCAAAACTATGTATTCTGCAAAGCAGCATATTAAATTTGTCATTTCACTTCAATTGGTCTTTTTCATACTAAGAAACAAAATGTATTAGGTACAGTCTCAAGCCATGTAACCAGGAGCTCTGAATAACTTACGCCATGTGGAGTCCCTGAAGTGGTTCAATCATTAAAAATGCTTCCTTCAAGTGTTGACTGAACTCCATGGCCCAGACATGCGTAATTTGAACCTGAGTCATGACTAGCCAGTTGTAAATGAGATTCTCAAAGCTGTGATGTACAACTGGTGAAGGAGGGTTGGGATTAGTCAACAAGGTCTAACTCGTTATGCAATGAAACAGTTGTTTCTCTGAGTTTCCAGATGTCTGCACACATGCAGTGATGTTAGTGAGAGATGTTTTGTCCTCCAGTTAGAGCAGAACTTTCTGTAAGACACAGTGGAGTTTCTGTGTCTTAAAAAAATGTGAAGTTTTGATGGATGGGTGAGTCTGAAAACAACAATTCTCCCTATATTTTATTTTATAAAAAAACAATATGTAAAAGAAAAGATTTCAAATGAATAAGTTAAAAAACATTAAATCTTTTTAAAGTTGCTGTTACATATACAGTATAGGGGGTTACAGAAAATATAGAATACCAAGAAGAATAATCAATAATGAAAACACTTACTGTATCACCCCCAAATTGTCTAAAGTTTTGCCAAGAATATGCCCAAGTGGTCGGTAGAGTTGGAGGCACAATAGTTCTTTCTCTGGCACAGCTATGATGACATCTACAGTACATGAGAGATTAAACCTGCATCCTAAATAAAACAGAATACTGTATAACCCAGAGCTACATATTTCTTCCAATAAATCTGGATACTCCAAATTGAATAGGACTCTATCTCTACCTTCTAAAAATGCTTCACAAACCTGAAGAGAATGTCTTTAGCCTGGGAATTCCTTATAAAGGAAATCTGAGTTTAAAATAACACATGGCAAGCTCTCTCAAACAAGCTTCTCATACTTAGCTAGAATTAGGTCTTCATGTTTGATTTGGAAAATGTCCTCTCACCTGGCATGCTTCTTGTCCTCTCTCTATTTTCTACTCCTTCTTAACTCCTGGTGTTTCTCTGCCTCTGCCTACTTGTCTCTTATACTGTGTTTCTGAACTGTTAACAACTCTTGAGGATTTACAAAGAACTTAATTAAGGTTAACCAGACATGCCTTTTTATCAATGTCTCCCAAACCCCTACAGCCCAGAAAACACCTTGTCTTTGATAGTTCAGACATGTTCTTCAAAAGCATTGGATACTTTCATTTAAATCTGATATTAATTCCATAAGAATGTTAAATTCTTAAATACATTAGACTTTACACTTCTAAATAAAGTAAGTGAAGTTCCTTATTTTATTGTGCCAGAACAACTAACCTTCATGTTTTGAATTCAAAGCTTTATCACCCGTCTTGTCAATTCCAGGCAATTTTCTCTCATTTTGTCTGAAAGAGCTCTTTCACTATTCATTTTCTGCTACTTAAAGAGAGTGAAGGGGTGCGAGTAGATTTAGAACTTAAAACGATTGAATTTGGATCATGGTACTGTAGAGAGAAGTTCTGAAGCTTCACATTTTTGCAAAAGACAATTATTGTTTTTTAATTGTGTCAGGATTATCGTATCATATGGAGGAATTCTAACTCGGTGTAAACTCAGTTTTCAATATTTTGCCTTTACAGTCTGTGCTTTTTTACTTAAGCCAGGATATACTGTACATTTGTGCCCTTATTTTTCTATTGACTACTTAATGCAGGGCAATATCACCTTTGTTACCCTATGGTACCTGGTTATGCTGCTTTAGGCTGCTAAAGGAATTCTGTGACCCTCTGTACATCTGTTTTTGTCTCACTGTTTACCTGCTTCACTCTTCCAGATTGATGCTGATCGGGAAGAGGATGATATTTTTGCTGACATAAGTGCAGTAGTGGAGGAGAGGCTGTTTCCCAAGGGCCTGGAGACTGAAGGTCAGAGAGGGGGGTGTAATGCAATGTGCAGGATGTTGACATCATTTCTCCATTTTCTCACACTAATGGGGTTTCTCGTAGGCTGAGCCTCTGTGCCTGTGATGAAGCTGAAAAACATCTCTTCAGACCACATGCATTTTTCCCTGATTAATAATTAGATCATTGTGACATACTAAGACAAAAGTGACAAAAACCAGAAATCCAGTGCCACTCAGTAGCTCAAAGGAACAACAGCTGATAAGAAACCGAAAGCAAGCAAAGACATATGAGCTACTGTACATGAGGTATACAAATGATTAAGAAGAAACTGAAGAAATGGATATGTGGACTTACTCCAGGCCCTAGAGAACCACAATCCTGCTGAAGACCAATTAAGGTCAATAATTAATTCAATTAACCTATGAAGAGTTCAACTAGAATGGAAAGAAAAATGTTTGCAGGTCATTGAACAGTAGAGGGAGCTACAGTTCTAGCGGTGGCATCACACTGCCCTCACCTAGAGAGAGTGCCACTGCCCTGTTGATACTTTCTTGCTCCGATTACTGTTAAGTCACCACTGGGGGAAAAATACATGTGCTATTATTCTTGCTTCTGGGCCTGTAGGTGTTAAATCACGACAAAAAGGTATTGAAACATTTTTAATGTGTAAATTGTAGAGGGTTTTTATGTCGCTACAGCAACTGACAGGCCAATATAAATATTTGTGCTGCTCTCATATAGTTCTTATGAATGCTAACCATGTGTTTTGCAAGTTATAAAGTGCTCTCGTGCTGCAAAAGAGAAAACATTAAAAATACTGATACACAAAAGCAGCACTCAGCTGTCATCGATTATTTAAATATGTTAAATGTACTGTAGATATGAAAATACAAAAAATGTAAATAAAAAAACAGCTTTACCGACAAAATTCTGCTCAAATTAAACCTTTGCAATGTATTGTGACTATAGACCTGATCAGCCTCTGGCTGTGTTGCTATGGGGAGTTCTGCTATTCTCCCTGTGCATCTGCAGCTGGGTTGTAAACCAGGATGAGTAGTTGTAACTATTTACTGTTAATGGCATTGGTGAGATGGAACCACAAAGCTTGTATCAGAATCAGCCCATCAGTTCACAAGAAAGCACTTGACTACAGCCAAAACCCAACACAAGAGGTACTGTGCCCTCAGGGCTCAGGGCTAGCCCTTTAGACCAGGAGATCAGGTGTGGGTATTCAGAAGAGCTGGACTGCGCTCTGCCTGGGGGAGACGCCCCCTAGTGGAGCTGCAGATTGGAGACTGCATAAGAAGACTGACTGGGGGTGAAAGTGCACTTTAATTTAGGAACAGGGGATATGGATGGGCAAAAGCAGTGAAAAGTACTGTTTTTGCGCCTATATTCCCCAACACTTAAGAGAAACAGATTTTGTCCTGCATTTATTTCCTAATAATTTGGCCGTTCATTGTGGGATTAGCCCTCCTTGTATTAGTTAAAGGCATTCAAATTTCATTTTCTACACACCAGTGTTTTTTAAAGTTTCCATAACATCACACTACAAAACCATTATGTCTGTGCCTAGTGAACTACCGAAGTAAACTTTAGACTGTTGCATTTTCATTGTGCGTTGGCATACTGTACAGTATGTAGCTTCAATGATTTATACCTCTGGAGGTATGTGAGTTTTTTATTTGGTCATCAGTCATTATAAGAATATAGTTAAATTCAGAAAAAATACAAGGACTAATTGTAGATTAATCAATTTAGATGATATACTGTATATATACTTGTGTGTGTCAATATATGGGAAACTGTTATGTATAAAACAAATGGCAGCTTCAAAAACAAAAACAAAATATTAATTATTTTGTTCTCTTGTCAGTATTCTGAAAACATGATACACTCAGGATTTGACAAATCACCTTCTAATTCTAAAATACATATCATCTGCCCAGCTTGTAGTTAAAAAAAAATACTTGTGAAAAAATTACCTTGTTCTTTTTTCGATTATAGTATACCACAAATCAAAAAAGTAGTGTAGGCCTGTCCAGTTCTGGTAGGGAGAATACATTTCTGAATTTTCAGTGTTTACAGAATTGTCTGTTCCGTTTCTGGGCAGCTACATGTGCTAAATAACAGTCTACTTTGTAGTCATTCTCTCCAGTGAATGAGTGCAGCGCACATTAGACTGTGTTTTTTCATTATTTCCTACATACTCTAGTGCAATAGCCAAATATAACTTCTCAGCTAGCATATGGAGGTTTCATCCTTTCAGGTGCTATCGTGTTGTTTTCTGTGTGCCTGGTGCAGGATACACTGACCCTGATCTTCTGGAAGACAACGAAGATGCAGAGCCCTCTAGTGCTATGGTGGAGGTAAGAACTGCTGCTTATAATAGGAGGAATAACTTATAACTTGAATAGATTTTGGGGAAAATATGCACAGTTTCATTTATTCATATGGTGGAAACGAATTTCCCCTTGCCGAATTTAAAGATCACATTTTCATGATGACTTCCAATTTCTTTCTCTTACCACATACAAGATGCTCCATTTTTTCTAGCCACAAAATACACTCCTTTTATGTCTTATCTTAAAGTGAAACATAACTCCATTATTATGAAACAAATATTTTGCATGCTTATTTGCATTCAGGTTATCCAGTTATTTTCTCACTCAGTGATTTTCAACAAAGGAGGAGTTGTGCAGATGTTCAGTTGCTTTCAGTGAAATTGAAGCACCTTTTGCTCTGGATGAAAACATTTTTGAAAATATCTGTAACTCCCTAATATCGCCCACTGCTCTTTCTAAAAGATTATTCTAATCCTGGTCACACACCACACAATCTGGCTGGGTTTTTTTTTTTCACAAAACTAAAAAGTTACTGGTGTTGGATTGCCAAATTGCAAATCCCCCCTCCTGATGAGATTTTGTCTCATCCTGATGTAGTGTCTGAAGAGCTCTGCACTGCTCGGGTTCACAGTTCCTGGAGTGCAGCTGCAGCAGTCAGAATCAGTATTGTGCAGTGCTTCTTTCAAAGCTCACTGATTCCAGTTTGGAGCCTCTGAGTGAGGGTGCAGATCGATGTTCGGAGGGAATGTTATAGTTGTTTTGATATCGTTCTCCGTTTCTGAAAATTCAAACTAATAAAAAAAACTGGTTTACAAAAAAGACAATCCCTGTTGCCTCACAGTTGGAAGCTGTATTTAATTGACTAGTGGGTGCCCATAACGCTGAAGGGAAACAGTCATTTAAAAGTCCCAGTTCAATACAGAATTATTGCTTCAGTTATCTCACTCGTTATGCAGGAGTCTCCTATCTTTGACTGCCTCCTTGCTCTGTGAATGTAACTGTTATGCCTGAGCTGAGGGAAGTTAGCCTTCCTTCAGCTGTACTTAGTGCACAAGCTGGTTGATATGCAAAGCAGGCATGCAGGAACAGCCTATTCACCAGACAAGGACAGACTCGCACAGCCTCCCCCCTCCTCCCACAATGCAACGGGGCCCAAGTGCTGGAGTTCTATATAAAGCCAGCAGAGAGAAGAGGGAGGGTGCGTGCAGCAGGGAGACAGCTTAGACAGACAAGAACAGCCTCGCTTGCTGGACAGGAGCCGGCACTTCGCAGAGAGGTCAGTACTGAGCAGAGAATAAACAGATAGAGGTGAAGGAGGAAATACTGTGTTGTGGTTGGCGTATTGTGACTGCACTGAGCTGGGTGTGTGGAGAACTGCAGGGCACTAAGAGGAAGCAAGGAGGGCCTTGTGGCTAACTTAGGGTGACCTGAGCCTCGCTATTGTAGTGGTGTGGAGGGGGTGCAAAATATACCCCCCCCCCACCTCCTCCTTTCCCATGAAGTCCCTGTCAGCAGTCATTTTGACTGTTTGTGCATGATGGAAAGGTGGCAGTGAATAAGCAAGACAGGTGGCCAGCTACTATCTTCAGCTCTGAGAGGCAAAGATAACTATTTGAATCCTTTCAAATTTCTCCCTTGTTCGCCATTCCTGACAGTATTAAGAGTATCATCAGACAAAGAGATAAGCACCAGTTTACCAGCTTAACAATTGAATTGTGGCTCTGTTCTCTGAGTTATTCCTTGTATACAGTCACTTGACAAACATAATGTAATTGAATTTTTTATAAAATAATTTAATATTGTATCAAGGTGAATACGCGGTGTCAGAAGGTAGTCTGTTGCAAAACTACTTGACATTTTGCAAAAATACAGATTGCAGAATCTGTGACACACGGACTCTTTGCTGGTCTGGACTGAGACACTGATGAAGTTCTTCTGCATATTTTCAGTATGGGAAGTTTTGATCAATGGCCTTTCCCCGGCAGGCACAAAAAGTCCATAACAGCACCTCTGACAGGAAAGAGAGCAATACTGGGAAGATTAACCTGTTTGCAAACCTTTTTACACACCTGGATGCACAGTTTCAAGTCTACAATGCATCTCGTTTATTTATTTTTAATAGCCTCTTGATCTTGATAAGTATTTTTAATTGCACTTGTGCATATGACAAATAAACTGAACTGTATGATTTCTAAATATACACAACTAGAACTAGAACGAATTACTCTTTGCATATGGAAACATGCTTTTTATTCTTTTATTTTATCAGGTAAGCCAGTTAAGAACAAATTCTCATTTGCAATGATTGCCTGCAGAACCGGTTACGTACAGTAGCAGGGCATTAAGGTTTTTATACTTTATATGTTTTTATACCTTTATACTGTACATGGCCTGCTCCAGGTCCCTAACTTCTGCTCCACTTTGCTACCTTACAAATATTGTCTACACTTCACATTGCAAAACTCAGAGATAATTGCATAAGAATGTTAAATGACAAGAATTACTTCTTCTATTGGTAGAAGCCCTAGAAGGAAGGGTTAGCAAGTAAATTAATGTCTCCTTAGAGTGCTGTGTGCACAACTGCAAACGAGCTTTTAAAAGCTCTCAATATGTTTGTTTACTGAGTGACTTGCAATGTGCACATACAGTACTGTATGTGTGATAGGCTGTTTTGGTGAGATTTATCTGGTATCACACTTCCACCCTGGGTAAGTGGTCATATTTGAATATGTGTGTGTGAATTTGTGAGTGTTGTACTGTGCATGTGAAAGAAACACATCCACTGTATCACATCTGAAACAAATTATGCAGCTCTCCACAATTCATCTTGCATAGCCTACTGAGCATGTGTCTTTATAAACATGTGCACTTTAATACCTACAGAGGTCTGGTTTATCTACATACATGTACAGGAAACAATGTATATCTCTAATTACTGCTGTTTCTAGAATTTCAATCACCAGTGTCAAGTTCTGCCACACAGAAGTGATGATCTTCACAGCCAGTATCTGAGAAACTGTCTCTTCACCCAAGACTGTAAGAGTGTGTACAGTATGCAGCATATATACAAAATGATTCTAAATACCAAAAGGTTTCAACAACAAAATCTAAAATTGTAGTAACATGTGGTTCACTTGTCCAGTAACTGTATACTCTTTCCAGTGCACGGGACATCCTGGCTTTAATCCATCATACAGAAAAAATGTACTTTTTGGCAATTAAAAAACTTTTAACATTGGAAAGTTCACAAAAACGCAAGATTAATTGTTCATATATTGCAATTAAGTTTGAAAATAGACCTCAAACCTTTCTACTGTATATACGAGCCCTAGGGACTAGGTCATACTATCAGAGTCAGTTTATATGGGTGACATGTTTAGAATGCCAATGGGTTGTCTATCTCTGGTTAGGATGCCTTAATTGGAGAAGCCATTCAGCCACAGTGAAGCCCAATCCTGACTCAGGGCTTTGGGTGACATTTACTTGGAAAGGGCAAAGGTCGCTAGGCACAAAGAGAGCACTTGTGAGCAAGGGTGAAATGTGGGACTTAGATTTATTTGTGCAAAACTGCCCCTTAAGCCTGGCAGTTATAAATAATGAATAACTCTTAATTAAACTTATTGCTTTATTCTCATTTGTTTTATTTTAAAATATGATAGTATTATAATAGTATCTTTAGATAGATATACTTTTCTTCTGAAATGATCCACTGCATTCAGCATAAAATGTACGGGTATTTCTTTTGAGCTTTATGTACCAATATTGTTAATAAATGGTGTGTGCTTTCTTAACAGTGTGATGCAGAGCAAGTTTGCCACACTCCTGCACTTTTTAACCACAATGAGTCAGCTTGAGAGCCTAGAATGACTTGTTTACTATTAGATAACTGCCAACAAAACCAACTTTGGACAGCATTTGCTGGTTATCATGGTAATCCTTTATAGAGTTTTTTAAGGTTTCAGCAAATACTACTTTGATAAAGCAGCAGTGTCTTTTATACAAATCTGACACTTTTAAAGGGGACTAGAAATGAAGTTATACTTTATTTGTAGGTACAGTATGTACTGTAGTTATAGTCACACCATGTCAGTTATTTTCTGTGGATAAAACAATTAGTTGACATCATGTGCATTTGTAGAAATCTTACCAAAACCTGTAGTGTGGTCAAGGGTGCCAACTTGAATTAGAAAGTTGCTAGGTAATAAAAATAATTCCTTAAATTGTTATAATGCTTTTCCAAAGGACACTAAAGTGCTTTCTTTAGAAATAGGAGGAGGGCTACATCATTCACAGCCACCTTCCTGGGTGACCTGCAACACATGGCAGTCAGGTGGCGAAGAGAGGAATTGAATTTTTTTCTCCAGTTCAGGGGGAACTTTAAGGAAATTAGATTGTACAAGCACAAGAACAGAAGGTTATGGGGGAAAGAGAAGAGGTCAGAGTGGAAATTAGCCAGGTCACCAGGGATGAGACTCCTACTCTTATAAACCATGCTGTGGATTCTTTAATGGCCAAAGAGCAAGGATCTTGGTTTAAAGTCTTGTTCTAAGGGTGACACTGTCCCAGAGCACAGTGTCGCAAACAGGACATTAGGTTTGAAATTCTGTTCCAGAGAAAAGAGTGCTTCTTGCTAGTCCACCAACACCATTCGCAGCAACATGGTTTTCCTGGGATTGCTTTCATCCCAGTATTAACCAGTCCCATCTTTGCCTCTGAGATCTCAGGCTACGGGTACTTAAGTTAATGCCAAAAAGCTGCAACCTCATCAGCTAGCTGATTTTGAGAAAATATGTAAAAATATTCAGGCACATCTGCTTGCATTTGCAAAAGAGCTTCCCTTATGAGCAAAGAAGGTTTATCTACTGTACTTGCCTGTTATAAAAATACACAACATGAATCCCATGAAAATAGAGAATGCTGGCATGTAATAAAATAAAGTAAGAATAGAAGAAAGTTGACATATTAGAGGAGCTCAATTGGCTCATCTAGCTTGTTTGGTGGTTGGGAGCTTAGTGATCCAGCTGTTGTATGCTGACATTTCTTGAAAGAAACCAGAGAATTGGTTTTAACAGCATGGATGGGTAGCTTGTTCCATACTCTGGCCATACTTTGGATGAAGAATTTGTAAGTAAGAAGCATTGCATCCATTGAACGTCAACATTAAACATTTTACATACTGTACACTATATATAGAACTCTACGATTATGCCATTTGTTCCCATTATGAAGGTCTAGAATAAATATCACAATCTTCTGATTTCTTCTTTTTTAAAAGCCCAATACAGTCCACTGTAATGTTCACCTTGAAATCACATTTCTTACTATTACTCTCTCTGTCGTTATTGCTGTACAGCAGGTACTTTTTATTGTGTCGTGTTCTTTACAAAATAAATTGAATTATTCTGGAAAAATAGGGTTTTAAAAACCAATGGCTAGTTTTCAAAAGATCACCTAGTTTAGGCACTGTCTGCTGAGGCACAGGGAAACAGCCATGAAAGACTACCTTTCATTTTGAAGGCTGCAAGTTCAAATCCTGGTTTTCAGGATTGTTTCAGTAAGATTCTTAATTGCATAAAGGGGTAGAAATGTCTTTGTATAAAAGGTTCAGTCAAATAAATAATAATAGTACTTATACTAGAATTTTTCTCTGTTTCCTATTATTCAGGGGATAGAGGATGCTGCATTTTTGTTGAAGCTCAAGTAGGATGGTGCTCTTTTTTAGAGTTTTTACAACTGGCTGTGCTGCTCTTTCACTGTGTTCAGACAGGCTGAGGCTTGTATAGTACTGTGTGTAGGGATATCAGCTGAATCAGCTGGCCAGGCTGGGCTTAGATATCTCTGGTTCCAGTTCCAGCATTCCTGAGACACCCTACTACTGTTACAGTTGTTACAGATTCTGTTCCTTCTACACTGATTGCTGGAAAAGCAGCAGTGAAATAATTTCTCTTTGTTCTTATCATTCATATCTTTCACTTTTTATACATTTAAGGGAATGGTCCTCTCCTGAAAAGACAGACAAGTTTAATATCCTGTAGCAAAAAAATTTAATTGTAAAACACAATACCAAGTGAGCCTACACTAATTCTTTGTACCGTATACAATGTGCTAGACTTCCCAAATGATTACTGAACCTGTATATTATTTGATCTGCAGTGTGTGCAAACACACATTTGTACATCTTATACTGAAAACTCTTTCAAAATGTTGTGATCCCCAGTGGCACCAAAAGCTTGTGCTCTCTCAGATGTACCTCTGTTTAGTTTATGTTATGAATTAATTGAAAGGTCAGCATGTACATAATGTAATAAACACAGTTTAGTGGCAGACATTTAACACATTCTTTGTCATTTCTAGTAAACTGATCATGAATATGATTGTTAGGAACCTGCTAGTATGCAAACATCCTTTTTTTAATGTTAGAAAGACTGCAAGAAAAAGTGCTAAAATATATTTTATTCTTTGAGTGCAGCATTTAACAACTAACACTCCTAGCCAGTTCATTGCCTTAGTTATTGGATGAAAACTAAAACATAGCAAATTCCCTGTTATAAATAAGGTTTGTGAGCAACGGAGCACAACCAAACTGAAATCATCAATTATTGAAAAGAAAAAAACAGAATTACATTTAATGCTCCACTACAATATAGATTTCAGTTAGCACTGCACCTGTATTAATGCATTGTGTTATTGCTATAGTTTCTAAAACTATATTGCTATCGTTATTAAGAATCAGTCTCTATAACCATAGTGTCCTGGCTAACTCACTTTCAAGGTTACAGTGTCATTTAATGAGCTAGTCAAATACACTTTACTTCCAATATACCCTGAAGATTATTGTTTGTTTCAAAGGTTTGATGCATTTTCCCCCAAACTAAAACTTGAGTCTTGGCAAAGAAGCAGAGAAATGGAAAGACTATTTTTACTGCAAACACACTCGTCCCTTAGAAAACAGCAGGTCTCTCACACTAATAAAAGTGTTTCCTTAGATATCATTCTAGGAATGTTTGTCTTGGTCAGTGCAGGTTGAGTGCTATTCAAAACAAGACAAAAACTGGAACTGCTCATGTGCACTGACACTGACGTCGCATCCTTTAGGTCAAACATAAAAACAAATTTTCTGAAATTCCTTTTTCATTGTTGATTGGCTAAAAAAATTATCATTTAACCTGAATGCAAGTTATATACGTTTTACAAGAAACTTTGCAATGTGAGTAAATATTACGCTCTCTTGTTGATAGACCTGTTAATTTTGATCATTCATGGTGATGTGGGTCCTCAGAATAAAATATTGAATAAATTATCATGTAAATTTATAAGTTTTGTTGGAAAGTATTGAAGTCTATTTTGATAGACAACAGTTACATATATAGGGTTAAATTAGATTGCAATAATTACACAATTATTAATATGGAGTCAGGGAACACCCTGTTTAACCTGTTTGTCTGCTCTGACTGTTGTCTTACTGTCTGTAGAACAAAAGAGAATACAGTATAGTAAGGAAAAAACAGAACCACTCTGTGAAATTATTTTTTTTCCCATGGCAGATCCTGGTAAGTGTGACTTAAAATGAAGTCCCACTCTGCCAAAGGGTGATCTTATCGAAATCCCCATCTTGATATTGTGCACTTTGGTAGCTCCAGTAGCACAAGGTTATTAACAGAATGTTAAACTCCATTGAACCAGTATTGTAAAGTGGTTTGAATTAAGCGAGATAACATGCATATAATATTCCTTTTCTTTGTTTCTTGGTTTGGCAGATCGAAGGATTTCAGAACACTGAACACATCACCATGGCAGGTAATACATTTGGCCACTTAACCATTTTGTATCTTGAAAGAATAAATGTGACTGTGAAGCCTTGCTGTATATAACTTGGAGGTGAGAGCAGTGAATTGAGCACTTTATTATACTACTATAATAAAGCACTATCTACAGACAGAGAACTTGCATGATGACTTTTCTCCTCATTCATACACGTGTCTATTTACCAAAGGACAGATCTGGATTATTTGTTTTACATTGGAAAAGATCTTAGTCGTTGCACATTAATCAGGCTGCAGACAAAGGCAGCAGAATTAAAAGAGTTGGAAGAGAAGCATTTTGTAGGTAAAAAGCACCTTTAAAACTTCTGGATTTCAGGCAGCAAGAGTTCACAATTTACCCTCCTTGCTCTGCTTTTTTCATTAGTACTGTAGTTACAGGACACTGACATCTTTACTTTACAAGTTGTGGCATGTTCTAGGACTTTCTGTGTCTTCTATTAAGAACCTTCTTTCTGCCTTGGAGTTTCACTGTGTGGCTATTTCAGCTGCAAGGTCCATGTCTTATCTGTAGGTCATTTAAGGCTGAGCTAAATCTGTTATTCAGCCTAGAAGTGTCAATCTTCATTACTGCTAGGAGCTGTAACAGCCATGCAAATACCGACACATTACTTCACCTTAAGAAAAGTACATTTGACTTCACTCCACAAACAAACCCAGATATGAAGGAACAAGCAAAGAATTATTCCAGGCTGGAAAGAGAAGAAAGGAAACACAACAATTCGGCTGTGGAGCCTTCTTCAGGTGTCAATAGAAATAATTGAAATAACTGTTGTCCTAAATATCATTTCTGTCCTAAAACACAGCCATGCCATCAAAAATTGTCTACGTTTTGTGGGAATCATAACCCTAACCCTAGCTCAGGGTTTGGCTTAGGTTAGGGATAGGGTTCAGGGTTTTGTCAAAGACCACAATCTTCCATTCATTGGATTGGAGAATTTACTTCACTGAATCAAAATATTTGTCTGAAAAGCCTAAGCAACCTCACCGAAACAATGAGAATGTATCAAGAAAGGTAACATTAATTTTTGACAAGTGTTCTTTTATTGGAAATCTTGTGTTGAATGGAGTCCTAAATGAGTAAGGGTCCGGGCTTAAATGGCGTTAGAGTCAGAAACACCTCATATATTTTGGCCTTATTTGTTAATATGCCTATACTTACAGTAATGTACTTACAGTACTTTACTGTATTTAGGGCTATGTTACACCATACTGTATGTTTCTATTACACTATTATTACTGTTATTACAAGGCTCGACTTCTTTCTCCCACTTAACTTCACACCTGAAGAAGGCTCCACAGCCGAAACATTGTGTTTCCTTTCTTTTCTTTTCAGCATGGAATAAACCTTTACTTGTTCCTTTGCAGCCTACACATGCTGACACAACTACTTACTTGAACTACTCAAACCCAGATATGGTTGGCTAATAAAAATGTAAATCTGATAGTAACACTGGGTTGCCATGTTCTGGTTCCCCTGCAATGTAATTTTAGTTTGCTGGAAATTCTAGCGACCTTATACATATAAGAAGTAAGATAGTGCTACCCTAATGCTGGAAACAGTGTAGGATCCCTGTATGAAATTAGTATAAACTGAACCAGATGTGTGTGCTCTTTAAGAAATGAATTGCTGTTTCAATACTGGTGTAACTGGGGTAAGGTTCAGTTCAGAATAAAGCACTCCAATGAAACCATAGTTAAAACTTTATTGTCTGCACATAACTGTAAAGCTCTTTGGATCAAAACAACTGACTAAAGAAAAAGCATCACAAGTAGTGGTCATTATACCCAGCATAGCTTAGATGTCAACCTTACTTCCCTTTTGAATTAATAAATATATTCAGACAGAAATGGAAAGGCTGACCTGAAATAATTATAGATAAAAAGCTTTTGTTTCTGTGTGGTGGCATGGTAGCACAGTTGTTAGCACTGTTTGCATGGGATTCCTCTGGGTGCTCTGGTTTCTTCCCACAGCCCTAAGACAGGTAAACTGGCCCTGGCGTGTGTGTGCCCAGTGATGAGCTGGCATCCTGTCCGGGTTGTACCTGTTGCTTGCCAGGTTAAGCACTGGTTCCCCTATCACCCTGAGTTGGAAGAAGTGGTTGGAAAATGAATAGGTGTTGTTTCTGTGTTTCCTGCAGCTGTCAACACAAGTAGCCTTGTCACAGCGCCTCCTCCTGGTAGTGAATAGCTAAATGGTTAGTTCAGTGGTGAGGTCAGGGTTGAAAACAAATGACCAGGTCAGGCCTCGCTTGGCCACACAACACACTCTTCGGCTTCTGTTCGATAATTAATCTGGAGCCAGCACAGCAGCCTTGCCTCTCAGTCTCCACCAATGCGAAGTGTAAATATTTAATTAGCACTCTGGTGTTGCTGTCCATGGAAATGGAACAACAGCTACAGTACGTAGCACATTTTAAATGATTCTATTGTGTGACGAATGGCCTTAAAGGTCAATATTCTCCAAGTCCCTTGAAGTGCTCTTACCAGAGCTGTACTGTGTTTTGCCTGGCAGTGTGGTATGGGCAGTCCAACAGAAAAAGCAGAAAAGACTACACATCCTCCGTACAAATGTAGGGCTGATCTTTAATTAGGTCTTCCACCATTTAAGCATACAGTGGAGAGAAGGGTGTGGTGTTGCGAAGGGGAGGTAATATTAGACACACAGTACCTACTATGGTATGTACTGGGGACGCCTATAATTACCTCCCAAGGCTGTGGCGTTGAGTTTCAGGATATGCAGTGTACTGGAGTTGTCTGAGATTTATGTGCAAGACAGTCATTTTAAAATAAGATGCCGGTACAGCAAAGCCATTGAACATATTCCACATAGTGAAACCTGGTATAGACGCTTTGACAAAAATTCAGGTTTTAAACTTGATATATATATTTATATCATTTAATTATTCATTAGGTCCACTAAATATACTGGATTTTTTAAACCTGCATTTTGAAATTAATTATATAGGATTGCAAAATAACAGAAGAATTCAAGAAATCTCTTCCTATAGTAATCATTTGATTTAATTGTTAACTAGGCAGTGATTCCTTCATTAAGACAGTTTTTCAAAATATTTCAAAAAGGCAGTGAAATTTTATCCTTTAAATGTTTAAATCTGAACAAAACAAACACTTAGATTTCTAAAAAGGCTAATTTCCCTTTAATATATTGGTTAAAACAGAGTTTAAACAACCTTCCAAAGAGCATACAAGGCGAAGCTGAGCTGCCAAAAGTGCTTTCTTTGAAGTGGTCTGGGGCTGGCAGTTAGGCTAGCAACAGTTGCCATGGCAACATACTGTATATTTAACTGGCCACAGAAAGAGGGAGAAAAGTTAAGGGAAGTGAGAGCAGCACTTTAACAAAGTGTGTTTAAAAGAAAAAAACTCGATCAGGGGGACAGAAGGAATCTAGTAGAAGACGAAGACAGAAACGGGCGCAATGGGAAGCAGTTGTTCCTCTGAGCAGGCCACCGGAGTGCGGCTCAGCTCTCAGCCAGGTATTGTCAGGAGTGGGAGTGCTGGGATTGAGTTAGTCACATTCCTGCTGCCAACAAGGCCTTGCTGCTGTTCACTGTCAGGGTGAGATCCACTTGTCTTTCCTAGTGGCAGGATAAAATGTCACTGTCAAAAGGCAGTGTTTTTGTCTTTAAACCTTAACTACAGTATGTGAACTTGAGTGTTGCTTGGGCAGAAATTGCATCTTGGTTATGTTTTGTTCTGTGCTTTCCTTTAGATAAACTGAAGGACAGCAAGATCATCTTTGTTGTCGGTAAGTCTGGACATTTTCATAATCTTCCTTCTTCATCCAATGTAACCCATCTTTGGGCAGACTCTATAGGCAGTCTCACTTTACATAGAATAAATGAGAGATTTAAATTAACCTAAGGTTTAGGAGAAGCAATAGTAAATTACCTGTTCTCAACACTGATATAATTAATTCAACTCTACAGAAGATGCAAAGATTCCACTGAAAGTTTTGTAAATCTGCATGCCAATCTGTACCCCAATTGTATTTTGCATGCTATAACCACAAATACAGGCCCCTACAACATACATATTGTTGATAAAGTGAGGCAGGTTTATTTTTACACTGATTTATTAAAGGTGGTATTTTTAATATGTAGTACACTTTAAAATCATGGCAGATATTGTGAAGAGTTTCACTGCTTGAGCATCTGTAGCATAACAAACCACTGTCAAAACGAGCTAACAAAGCAAGCTTAAGGTGGCAGAGTTCTGAAAATGTGGCCTTTAATGTCCTTTAAACAATCTCAGGTTTAGGCTAGGTGACCCTGAGAAGACGTCCTATTGTTGCTTCGGACAATTTGTCCAAGTTTTTGTTTACCTGCAAGAAAGTAATGTTTTACAAATTTTAATAGGTGTGCTTTATAACCAGAGTTATTCTCATTAAAATTATTAAACTTCTTAAGAAATACCTTTAATGTTTATTTAAATAATATTATAATAAAAGCAGAAATTATGCTCCAACTTTTACTGAGGAAGACATGAACAAAGCAACTGCTATGAAGTAATCCTTTATCTGGATTCTAGATTTGTTATGGTTTTTGCAGGATGGACACATGCTCTGTCTTGTGTTTTAAAGAGACAGTATAATGATAGTCTGCTGGACTATCACAGGGCTCACACAGGGCTCATCTTAATAGTCTTCAAAAGCTTCATATGGAAAAGCTTTTGAAATTAATTTAATTGCCTTTTTTCCTGCTGAATATATGGGCTCCTTGGGAGGTGATTATTTTGCAGGCTGTGACAAGCAAAACATGCTGAGACAACATAAATAACTAGGATAATCCATGCCAAGAAAATGCTTTTTGCTCTTGCTTTGTTAATTTGGGAATAGTAACTATTTGCATTGAACAACAGGAGAAAGACAGTTTAGGCCAGTTTACACTGGACGCTGCAGGCAAAGCACTCCAGAGGCTGGTTTTCATCCACTCTGAACGCGGCACAGATGGCATGACAGGTGGACAGTTAGATTATTGTATTTGAGAGTTGTGCCAGTTGCAGAGCTGGGTAGCCCAGCTGCCAGTAGGCTGTCATGGATAAAATTATAAAATCTAAATACAGCTTCTTTTATATAAGGATGACCAGGGACTAGTGTGGGGCTACCACATTCCCCTAGCTGGAAATAATTTGAATGAAAGAATGAAAGAATGAAGCACCCCCCCCCCTACAAATACATCCATCCAATTTCTTACCACTTAATCAAATTCAGGGTTGAGAAAGAGCTGGAGTCTGTCCTGGCAAGCAACAGGCTCAAGGCAGGATACACCTTGGACAGGACGCCAGCCACTGCAGGGCAAACATAGATACAAACTCACTCCAGGGCCAGTTTTCCCTAACCCTAAACCTAGCCTAAGTTAGCTGAATTGTCTGTGTGCAATACTACAATACTATGATAGTATCAGAATCAGAATTAAACCTTTAATCACCAAATACATTTCATGTACAAGGAATGTACTTGGTGGCAAAAACATTCTACAGATTCCATACACAAAAACGACTAATAGACGTCATTAAGATATCGTTAGAGTGCACATACTGTATAACTGGGAATTCTGGTTAAACAAAATACAGCCCTAGGAAAGATTCCCTTAGCTGGAAATAATTTAAGACAATAATGAACTACCCCTGCCTCACAAATACATCCATACATTTTCTTACCACTTAATCAAATTCAGCGTTGAGGAAAAGCCAGAGCCTTCTTTCCAGTGTCCAGAAAGAAGCTGTTCAAATACAAAGTGGCTCTGGTTTTAATAGATTGGTAGTGTCTTCCTGAGGGAAGTTTATGAAACAGGTGGTAATCTGCGTGGGAGGAGTCATCAACAATCATTCCTGTCTGCTCCTTTACTTTGAAATAGTACAAATCATCAATGAAGGGCCAATGACCCTCTCCATAGCACAAACAACACACTGCAGTTTGCCTTTGAAGCAATCAGATATGTCGCCAAACCCAGCAGTTACACCGGCAGACAGAATGCTCTCAATAATGGCTCTGTAAAACTGTATCAGAACGTATTCGAGAGACGCCAGAGTTTTTCAATTGGCACAAAAAGTACGTTCCCTGCTGTGCTTCCTTCGTGATACTGGTATTTGCTTAACGAGGAGAAAGCAAAATGTCTGAGTGGGGCCCAGTCAAAGTTCCTACTTGAATGTGGACAATCTGTGGTAAGATGAAGACGACTGCACCATCCCGGTGTGCAAAGGCTCAGGGGGCGAGTACTTCTGCAATCAACATACAGTATTATAGTGTTTATAGTGTTTTGAGTTATTCTGCACCGCACTGCTCGTTCTTCTGCAAGAAACATGTTGAGCTAAACAGAACAAAGAAAGTGCCAAAATGTAACTTTTGATGACAAAGGCCTGGGTCCTTGTTAGCTACAGTAGGTGAATGACTTCACGGAAAAGTTGGTGGAAAATTAGGGCATTTCCCATTCCTGTTGGCCACAGTGAGTTAGGAACAGATTCCCTTTTGCCTCCCCAGGCGGTCCTGGTTCTGGGAAGGGCACCCAGTGCGAAAAGATCGTGGCCAAGTATGGCTACACTCACCTGTCCACCGGAGACCTGCTCAGGGCAGAGGTTGGCTCGGGGTCAGAGAGAGGCAAGAAGTTGTCTGCAATCATGGAGAAGGGAGAGCTGGTCCCCTTGGTGAGCACACTTATCACTCCGAGTCTGCATTTTCAACAGAGGCGAGGTTTGAAAACCGGTGAGGACAGTGCTGGTCTAAATGCACAATACGAGCCTAGATCACAAGTATTGTACTCTAGCTGGTATTAGTTCACATATTGTTAGTTATTAGGGTGTCATCTAAGCCTATCTTTCTCAGCTGCCAGTCCAGATGCTTATTGCTTCTTTCATTTTGAGTTAGTAAAGAAACTAAGCAATATTAAGAGTGTATGGTCGGGAAATATTGTTTTTCGCTTAAACATGTGAATTAAACCTTTGTGAGTTTTCACAGTGTAAGCGAGTGACAGGAGTTTAACATGGATAACAAAAAACAACCCACTTTTGGAACAGGGCACTTAAAGGATAAGCAATTAGAACAGAAACAAAAACAAATCAATGTTTTGGCCACAGAAGTTACCATGTTTGCTGCTGGAGGTTGCAACTAGAAATGCCAGATGACAGAAAGTAAATAAGAGAGAAGAGAGTAAATAAGACAGCTGGTTGTGCTGCCCTCCCAGACAAACCCACGGGGAGCTGTAAATTGTTTTCATGCTTGTGTGGTGCCCTTTTCTTGAAGATGACCTCTGACCCGGATGTCTCTCTCTGCAGGACACAGTTCTGGACATGCTGAAAGACGCCATGATTGCCAAGGCCGATGTCTCAAAGGGCTTCCTGATTGATGGCTACCCTCGGGAAGTCAAACAGGGAGAGGAGTTTGAGAAGAAGGTGTGGAGACTAGGACCAGGCACAGTCTATTAGCAATGTGTGGCTCTTCTGTGGGATTTAACTCCTTTTCTACAAAACCAGTGTCATGGAGAGTGGGGCAGTTTTTAAAAAAATCTTTAAAAAACCTGATCTTAGGGGACAACTCGGTAGCACACTGATTCTCAGGCAATATTTATTTTTTATTCAAGGAAAAATTGAACAGTTTAAAAATGTAATCACTCTTTAAATCCCACTGTACTGTACCTATTTTCATTTGAACAGGTCTGTTTAGTGTTTTTGAAAGACAAAATATATTAACAAACATCTAAATGAAAACACAGAACGATGTTTTTCCACATGAGGAAGTATTTCCACAGTGAATACTTCCGTTGAATCACAGTCATACATTTTGATAGTAAAATATAAATTTCATTATTCAGTAATAATAATTAATTTTATCATGCGATGGCTCATGTTTATGTATACGTTTACAGTCTAAAATGGTAAATTCAGAGCCTCCTACAGTGCTGACTGCACTTCACACGCTTTCTGTTGCTTGAGGTGAATAACATTGTGAAACAAAAAAAGAAAGTCACAGACATTTTTGTGACAGAGTGGCAAATTGAGTAGTCTCTGTATTTAGGCTGTTGTCTTCATTGAAATTATTTAAGTTCCTTGAGAGGTCTGTTATTTAAAGAAAAGTTGTAAAAAGAAACAAAAATGTCAAAAATTGTCGGCCGAACAGGAGAGCAATTGTCATAATGTGTGATTTTTACAGCCTCTCTAATCTTCTTTTTCAAACATAACAGCAAGACATGGTCCAATTCATCAAAACTCTACTCTGTGCCACGGTCCACAGAAACAGAAGTCACAGAAGTCAGGACATTGAGGAAGAACAGTTTTATAAAGCCGAACAAACAGCTGCTAACCAGCTTTAATTCCTTCATTTGCTTACACTGAAACATAGCAACATAATTTCTGAGAGAACTATTTAAAGCCCATGTTATGAATTTTTAATTCCATTATAGGTACTCTCAAAGAAAAAAAAACATCAGCCTAATATTCTTAAGAACTATTTTAAAATCACTTGAACGTTTTTTGTAAAAAGTAATTCCCACAGTAGCATTAACTAGCTACCTTTGACATTTTTTTAATTTGATGATAAAGATATTTGGAGGCTGTTAACCAATGTTTCATGTCACTATATCATTATATATAAAAGTTTATGTATTCAGGTTTTAAAGGTGTTACCTGTATTTCTGAGGTTAATATAATTTTAGGACTGTTAGAGCTGTTATAAAATTAGAAACATCATTATTAATATTCCCCTTGAATTGCTTAATCCAGTCATCTAATATTATTTGATTCTTTGGGATAAACTGTTTTATTCCAGTCAGACTAATGAAATTTCACATATTATTTTATTATACAGTATGTGCTGACCTTCTCCTATCAGCATGGGGAAGTCTATATCTCTACAGCGGTTTTACTGTGAATAGTGCCAACCAATTCTTCAATGCAAATGCTTTATGAAACGGTGTCTGTTTAAACTCTGGCATCACTTTACAACAATTTTGAGACCTTAAACAACTGTCGTAGTGTGAAAAGTAACAAAAAAATGATTGTGATCATTTAAAGTACAGTCAGTACAAACGCTCTTTATAGTCTGTGCAAATCCTTGTCAGAGGAAGCTGAGTCTCTCTGGCATAGAGGTCATACAAATGAAAAACTTTACTAGCCACATTAAGAACCAGTATCTGGAAGCTCGGCAGCTTTTTTTCATCATGCAGGAACTGATGTTGATGGTCATGCTGAGTAGTGTGATATTTTTACCATGAGACACATAAAATATAACAGGGTTCAAGAAGAGACATTAAAAGTTCATGACAAGAATTCATTTCAGCAGTTCTTTTTATGTGTGTTTGTCCAATCTGGGAAGAGTCTAAGGTTAAGAATTTCAAAACCCCAAAAGATTGAGCTCATTCACCCTCTTCTCCTACTGTAGTTGTTTGAAATCCCTGTAGGAAACAACACCTTTATTTGTGCGCCACAGAATCTGGTGATGCAGTAAATGCGCTTGTGTAGTACTGTATTAAATGAGCCTGTAAAGAGCTTAGCTATATGAGCTTGTGTAGTGCTCTATTGAGCTTGTATAGTGTTGTATTAAATGAGCGTGTAAGGGCTGCATTAAATGAGCTTAGTTATAGAGCTTGTTTAGTTCTATATGTGGCTCCATAGCTCAGGGCTTAGAGCACTGGCTCTGGAAACCAGGGGTCGCAGGTTAATATCTCGCTGGGGCCTTTCGTGCTCGTTTACCAGCAGCCATATCACCCTGCAACTCACAACTGGCAACCCACTGAAGCTCAGCAGGTGTGAGCCTGGCCAGTACCTGGATGGGAGACTTCTTAGGAAATCTAAGGGTGCTGCTGGAAGAGGTGTTAGTGGGGCCAGTAGAGGGCGCCCACCCCATGTTCTGTGTGGGTAGTGAGGGGGACACTATACTGTAAACAGGCGCCGTCCTTCAGATGAGACGTAAAACCAAAGTCCTGACTCTCTGTTGTCATTAAAATCCCAGGGCGTTTCTCTAGAAGAGTAGGGGTGTAACCCCGGCGTCCTGGCCAAATTTCCCATTGGCCCTTACCAATCATGGCCTCCTAATAATCCCCATCTATGAATTGGCTTCATTACTCTGTTCTCCTTCTCACTCAAAGCTGATGTATGGTAAGCGTACTGACGCACTATGGCTGCGGTCGCATTATCCATGTGGGTGCTGCACAATGGTGGTGGAGGGGAGTCCCCATTACCTGTAAAGCGCTTTGAGTGGAGTGTCCAGAAAAACGCTATATACTGTAAATGTAAGCAAATATTATATTAAACGGGCTTGAGCAAGCTTGTGTAGTGCCAGAATTAAATGAGCTTGCGTATTAGGTGAACTTGTGTTGTGCTGTATTTCATGAGGGTGAACGGTGCTGTATTAAACGTGCTGCTGCTGTTCCTCCGGCAGATTGGGCCCCCTACCCTGCTGCTGTACGTCGATGCAGGCGCAGACACCATGGTGAAGAGGCTGCTGAAGCGTGGCGAGACCAGCGGGAGAGTCGACGACAACGAGGAGACCATCAAGAAGCGCCTGGACACCTACTACAAGGCCACCGAGCCCGTCATCGCCTTCTACGAGGGCCGTGGCATTGTCAGAAAGGTACTGTAGGGGAACAGACAACAATGTGTACAGCACATGGAAGATAAGATAAGATTACTTTTTTGGCCATATACAATTTCTTGTATTAGAAATTTGTCTTTTCACATACCCCAGCTTGCTCTCCATGAGACACACAGACAGGGAGAGAAGCTCGGGGTTAGAGTGCAGGGTCAGCCATTTATAAGGCACCCCTGGAGCAGTTGGGGTTAAGGGCCTTGCTTAGTAGTAGGATTCCTCTGCCAGCCCGCAGGATACGAACCGGCAACCTTCCAGCCACAGGCACAGATCCTTACCCACAGAACCACTGCGCCATCCTAATGTGCTGGGATTCAGACAGTGTGAACGTTTTCTTCTTCGTTCTTGTTTTCTTGTTTCCTCCTAAACATTTCTGTCTGGTGTCAGCTACAGCTACTACTGTCTGCTGGCAATTCTTGAGCAAATATTTGTTTAAGAGTTTGGTGGTTAAATAAATTACAGTGTCTTGCAGAAGTATTTAGATCCTTGCAGTTTTCGTATTTTGTTGTTTTAGCTTGGAATCATGACACTTCAAAGTATCCATGGATATTTGTTATACAGTATATACAACATAAATATCGAATTTTGTTATAATCAAATAATAATATACGTAATTCATAAGAAAGAAAAATGGAAAAGCATTGTACATTAATGGTACCCTGTGCTGTTGGAAATCGAAATTAATTTAGTTACACAAAATTACCTGCAGGATTAGTCAGGTGGCTTCTGCCTGTTTGCAATAATAGTCGTTCACATAAACACATCTGTTTCAGTAAGGTCCTTTGGGAAGGTAGTGAATTTCATGCATAAATTCAACTGTAAGGACAAAGGGGCTTTAAAAACAAGCCCCAGGATGTAGAAAAACACATACCAAGAGACAGGTATAAAAAAAAAATTCAGGCACACTGAATATATATCCCTTTGAGCTTGGTTTCTTCGATCATGAAGAAGTGGGAGTTGTGTTGTTCTCTCCAGACGCTGCCTAGATCGGGATCCCTCCAAACTGAGCACCAGGAAAGGAGGAAAATGTATTAGGAAGCCACTGTAAGGCCAACAGTGACTTTGAAAAATTGGTTTTGTGGTTAAATGGGATAACATTTTGGTGTAAATGCATAACATTATATCTAGTGCTAACAACACAGCAATAGAACATCACTGTGTCAACATTATCCCTACTGTCAAGCACAGTATCGGCAGCATTAGATTATGAAGCTGGTTCCTATTAGCAGGATCAAGACTGAGGATAAAAAGATGGGGCAAAATATAGGCAAATCAGAGGAAAACCTGTTTTCAGTCTGCTAAAACAGGGGAAAAAAATTACTTTTTAGCAGGACAATAACCCAAAGTACAAAGAAAAGTCTGCACTGGAGTGGTTTAAGAATAAGGTAGTGGATATCCTTGATGAGCCCAGTCAAAGTCCTGATTTGAAGAAGAATGGGCAAAAGTAGCACTAAACCAGTGTAGAAAGTTGGTAAAGACCGGGAATGACTTGAAGCTGTAATTGGTGCCAAAGGTGCTTTTAGTAATACTTAAGCAATCTACACATTTCACTTTTTTTTACTATACAATATCTTTTGACGTCTTCAGTTTGATCATTCAGGTTCTGATGTTAAGAATAGTTAAGAAAAATAGTTAAGAAAAAACTGTATGGGTGATTTTGTCATTTCGGGTTGCACGGTGGCGCAATGCTGCCTTGCAGTGCTGGGCGCCTGGGTTCAGTTCCGGATCTGGGGGTGCAATCCATGTGGACTTTGTATTTTCTCCCCGTGTTCGCATATGGGTTTCCTCAGGTGTTTGATTCCCAAAGTCCAAAAACATACTGGCTTCTGAGAAACTGGCCCTGGCTGGAGTGCGTGTGTCTGTTTGTGTCTGTCTGCCCTGCTATGGACTGAAGTCCCATCCGGAGTGTACACTGGCTTGTGCCTGTTACTTGTGGGATCAGGCCTTGGCACCCTTGCGACCTGAAAGGGAAGAAACAATAAGAAATGGATGGATTTTGTAATTTCACAAAGCAGAAGGTCGGAATACTTTTGCAAGGCACTGCAAATGCATTTAAATGTGAGCCAAACACCCCTGTGCTATTTTGTGTTGATGTGGGTAGTTGCAGCTGATTTAATCTACACACACATAGGAGCTGGCAATCAAAAATACTGGATCCTAACCTCTCAGCCTGACCTTGTGCTGTGCTGTTATGCATCTGATTCAATACATCAAGGTCACTGCAGTGAAATGGCCATGCTTGTGATTGGCACATCATTTTGAGTGTCTGAACTATAAATTGTCTGAAATTAATTTCTCCAGTGTTCTTTACAGTTCTAAAGTCAGGGTCCATCTCTCAGACCTGTGTAACTTCTCTCTCCTTAGATACACGCAGAAGGCACTGTCGATGATGTCTTCAAGCAGGTGTGCACTGCTCTGGATGCCTTGAAGTAAATCAAGACAAACGGAAGAACTGACACCTCCAGGAGCAATCAAACTGCTGAGTCGCGCTCAGTTCAGTAACAAACCCCTTAAGAGATCTTGAAGAGATCTGCCTTACTGTGTATTCCTCTTCTCATCTTTGCTGTTTTTTGTAGATTTCATCTTCTTGGAAACATCCCTGTGAGGTAAACACGTGTATAAAGTTGTTGTTTTTTTTAATCCGATCATTTCTGGACTTTAAATTATTTGACTTGGGAGAGCTGCTTCACAAAGCCGAACAGTGCAACTGTGAAAGAAAAAGGATGTATATTTCAGTTTGAAAAACCTTTGTAGTCACATCACATCAAACCAACCAACCCGGTCTGCTGCTCCGACTAATAGTGCACATTACAACAGGCACCTGTCCATTTCTCACCACCCACGTTACCATCATTGTTGTTCTGTCGGTTTATCTGTTTCTCATTTTGTTGGTCTTCATGTTTATCTGAAAGTCGCACTGTTCTGCTGCCATTAAATATCACCTTCAATGATGACCAAACTCCTGCCTCTCCTGGCCTGTTTGACTGATAGATTGCTTGGGAAACTGTAGCACATATGGGTTTGTCAATCAAAGCATCCACATGTCTCAGCAGACAAGGTCATTGCTCCACCAGATGCTGTAGTTGAATCGAGGCTTGGATGAATACTGTATATTATATATACAAATATGTTTTTTTTAATGGGATGATGTAATCTTAATCACAGAATCCTGTTTGCCACTGGCATCTACATTCAGCTACATAAAACTTAAAATATGTGTTATTTCTGGAGAGAACTGGGTTTTATTGCTTTGAGTAGGAACAAAGGATGCAAAGGAGAACCATTGGGATCTCCTCTTGTTTTGTAGTTCAGTGGATAAATAAAAACTGTCCATTTCTTAATTGTTCGTAATTTGAGCTTCAACCACCTGGCTGGGACATCTATTCCAGGCACCCACATCTTTTGTATAAAGAAGCATTTCCTGTTCTCCATTCCAGATTAATTTTCTTAAAGTTTTCAGTTGTTACCCCGTATCCTTATTTCGCTACCGAATGTGAAATAGTCCGGTTAGTACTTCTTACAATCTTAAATACTTTGTTCTCCACTGAACAGACTTAGCTTCATTACACTGTACATGTACTGTATGTATCCCCCGAGACCCGCAATAAATCTTAATTCTTCATTGACCTCTTCCTAAGGTTATAATCCCTGGAGGTGTGGTGTCCAAAACCGCACAAATTAAAGGTGATCTTACTAGTATATTGTATTGATTTAACATAACATTTCTGAATTTAAATTCTGCTATACTATATAGTCAAGCATTCTCCTTGCTTATTTCATTGCTTAACCATGTTGTGATGATGAGACTATATCTATCTATAAAAACACCCTTTCATGAGTAGCACCTGCAGGTCCTGATCCCTAATGCAAGATGTCTAGTTTATATCTACTGTGTTCCTGCTACCACTTCGATCACTTTGCCCTTACTGATGTTTCATTTGTCATGTGTTTGCCCAATTTGTAATTTATTTTCTGAATTTCTGAAATTTCGTAACTTCTGTACTTCGTTACTCCTCCAAAAACATGATACTATGATACATTTCTAAAGCCATCTTCCAGTTTAACTAGATTGCTCAGATAGCAGAGTCTAAATAGTAGATATGGCTCAGAAAGACCAATAAATCTTAAAAAAATCCTTGCACCATGCTATTGCTTATATCAGAAATTGTGCTCCTTAAGATAACTTTACCTGCTTGTTAACCAGTTATTGATCCATGAGAATGACAGAGTAATTAAAGACATATTTATGTTATGATAAAACAGTATCTAAAATAACCACAATATCATACCATACCCCCAAATAATACACAAATTTAGTTATTTCAAATGTAAAACTCCTGTAGCCTTGCCACATGCTTCTGTGATGATATAGGTGAGGTCTGATTTATAATATTGGTGGCATGGTGGTGCATTGGTTAACATTGCTGCCTTGTACCTGGGGTGCTATCGGCATGGCATTTGTATGTTCTCCCCGTGTTCATGTGGGTTTTTCACCAGGTGTTCTGGTTTGCTCCCACAGTCCAAACACGTACTGGTAAGTTAATTGGCTTCTGGGAACATGTTCCTGGGGGGACCATGTGTTTCCAAGACTGGCCTCCCATCCAGGGTGTATCCTGCCTTGTGCCCGTTGCTTGCTGGGATAGGCTCCAGCTCCCCTGTTATCCAGAATTAGAAGAAGCAGTTCGAAAATGGATGAACGATTTATATATATAAAAAGGGGGTCATTGCAACACAGCTGGTTGTCTGAACCAGCCTTTTTTCCATGGCTCAACACCATACTTTTATACAGTATGTAGGCTTCCTTGTGTCACTTGTGATATAAATTTAGCATCTTGTCTGATCACTATCCTTGAATGCCACATGTTTAAGTACTACACATAAAGTGTAGGTTAAAGCTGTGCATCAGGGGTTATGCAAGTTACTTATTATACACATAAAATCCTTTTTGTGAAAACCCAATACATCTGTAAACAATAGATTCTCACTGTATTCAATATGAAGTCCTTCCCACCCACTTCTTAAGAGGAGTTTAAGATACTGTAGGTTTGAAACGAAAGAAGTAAAAGCTGAATATTTGAATAGGCTAGCAATATACTTATTTTTTATATTTATATTATACTATCAAATATTGTTTTTAAAGAGACAAAAATGTAACTGAGAAAAAACTCCTTACTTGTAGTTTCATTTATTCAGAAATGGTTTGGCAATCAATAAATGTCATGATTTCTACTGGTTTCTTGTATATGTTAATTGCAGGTTTATTCCATTTTAATAGTAATTTAGAAAACCTATGCATGCTGAAAAAAGGAGAAGCTCATCAACAATTCAGTATCAACTTGAAATAATGGAAAGAAGGTAAGTTGGATGATCAAGTTTACAAAATGTATTATTTTCACAAATGTTTTTACATGTTTTCTGAATAATGTGTCTTAATAAAATGTCTAATTTGTCTGAATAAAAGCTTGTAGGTGCACGACAAGAAAAGAACAAATGTTTTTCCTTGAAGAGCACTAGCAGTCACGATGCTTTAATGGTATCGACATTTAGGGTGTTAGGAGTGAATGATGTAAAACAACATAATTTTTACTGTGATTTAATATTATTTTAACCTTTGAAAAGGTCTCATGTTTTTACCTCACGTTTTTCATGTTTGGATTTTTAGGCAGTCTACTCCAAACTGAAAAACCTTATTTCTCAAATTCAGCATTATAATAGAAATAAAGTTCTGTTCCAACCAATAACCTGAAATAAGGTCCCAAGCTCAGGTTATAAAATAATAGCCAAACAAAGAAACATAACAGTAAAATGTACAATTTCCCTTTTCCTGTTGTTCTGTACTTTTCACCAGCGGGATTCTCAATGGAAGAATGTCACTTGTTCAATAGATAAGCCAAGAATAAAATATTGTATATACAGTATATCATTCCTTTGCATGATGGTATGTGTTGCACTATGCTGAGGTTCAGTTTTAAAGACATGTTTAGTACATTGAGTGTTGTGAAAGAAAAGTATAATTATGAAATAACTATACAGTATGAGATATATACAAACCAAAAACAAATACAACCATTCAAAAAGAGTATATAGTCACCTTATTCTGTAGTACAGTATATTAACATCCAATATTGATTTTCATTAGCTCTTTTACCGTATGTATCTTAAAAAAGATTATGTAAAGTATACTTCTATACTACAGAAATACATACATTATTAATTACAAAACAGACTAAGTAGGCCTAATGGTCTTGTTTTGTTCATTGAAACTTTTAAGTTCTTATGTAAACCATATTATCATTAAGCCTCAAGACTGAAAAAAATATCTGTATATCTTTGGATGGCTGCATGAATACTCAGTAAAAATGATTAAATAAGCATATACTGTAAATGTAAAGGCTTGAATATCTGTATCAAAAGAGGAATAGTAATTGATAAAGGATTCTGTCATTTTCTGTCTGCAATTAAGCCTCATGATTGAGTTCAAGTTCAACGGCAGTGCTCATCACTCCTCCATTTTTCAAAGTATGTTTATATTAGTCACTGTGAGGCTGCTCATCTCACATTGATTAGAGTCAAAATAAAAGCCGGGAAACTACTGGTAGAGACAAGGATGTTCTGACACCCTGCTATTGATGGTGTTGAGTTGGGTGCTTCTGTGAACTTGTGACTTCACTGGTGCCATCTCATCAGCCTGTTTTGAGTGGCGCTTGGATGAGCAATCTCAACAGGCAGTGTTCTCTGATGTGGGCTTTCTTGAATGTCTGCTTGAGGGTTGGAGTGGAGACTGAAGGTACATGCATTGAGGTATCCATGGAAACAACCTGCCTCTGCTGCACTCAAGAGAGCCAGAGATCTGACTGGATGGGAGTCAACAAGTGGACTAATGAAGGGGCTGAGCAAAGATGAAACTCCAGTACTGTCTGCTGCATGTGGGAGCATCTCTTTATCACCTATTCATCCGTGGGGGTGGTCATTTACCTTCTCTGTGAGAGCACTCCAGAGCAGTTCTTAATTATCATAGTGAAGGGAACAGTCTGCAAACCCTCAGTTCAGCTCACACTTTGTGATTTGACTACACACTGTTAAAAAGGGTCTTAACTACATTATTTTTTCTTACATTCTGTTTCAAAGAGCTTTATTTGCAAGTTTATTGCTATCCAGTTCAAACATGCATCTTTCAGGTTTATAGTATTCTGCGTTTTGACGTTTCCTGTACAATCACGTAATAATTCCACTTTAAAATGGAACTAGCGACAGTGGCATTTTCACTGCCAGTTAGAGAGAGCTATTCATTGTTATCTGACAATTTGACATCAGATTTTTTTCATTAACTATAAACGTTTAAAATACCTTTTTGATCATTATTCATGCCTTCTGTTCATAAGAGTCACTCAACAACTGGCAAAAACTACATGCGATGTGGTTCTTGTCACGGTCCCACTGAAATCAGGTGTTTCGAGTACCGTTTCTGGCACGATTGGCACTTGTTTTTAAGCAAACAAACAATACCAAATGAAAACAATGGCATTATTATTGCACCTACGTTCGTTCATTCTGTTTACGTGTGTCTCCTCTTCTGGAGACCGGGCGAAAGGATATGAAGTTATAGCGGCCGGTGGGAATTCGTGTGCAGCTGAAAGACGTTGACAATGAAAACCCTGCCATCTAGTGGGAGAAGTATACATATCAACAGAGATATGCAGAACTAAGGTCTTCACAGGAAAATAAGAAAGGCTACAAATAACAGGAGGTCATTCCATCCATTTGGCTTGTTAAGTTGCTAATAGCATAATGTTTAAAGAGTTCTTTTCAATCCTTTCCTAAAGGATACAATAGATCACCCACATGAGCTGGATCCAGACTTACTCTTTAGTGCCTCCTGTTCTTCCATCTTAAATGGCCCTAAACTGAATTCCTACTCCTATATTTGGGTCCTTGTGTTGCTGCTGATATCAAAGTCTT